AAAAATGCAATAAATGGGACTTAGTGTCTGACTTGTAAACAAGAGGATAAATCCAGGTAACCCTACTAAAATCATCAACTATAGTCAGAAAGTACTTGAAACCAGAATGAGATGGGACTGAGAAAGGTCCCCATAAGTCACAATGAATAAGATCAAAAGCATTATCAGAATGTGAAGTACTAACATTGAATGGTAATTTCTTTTGTCTAGAAAAATGACATATATCACATGGATTGGTATTATTGACAGAGCCTGTGGAAAATGGTAAATGCCTCAGTTTGCTGAAAGATAAATGCCCTAATCTATAGTGCCATATGCTATTGTTTGATGTAGTAAGGTTGGATGATACAAGGTTATCAGTATGTGTGAGTCATTGGACATAACAGCATTGGCTGAGGGGTTAGGGATAATGCGAGGGCCTCTAGGACCTTTCCAGTGGGCAGGGTATCCAATAACTTGGTAACAACGGTCTGAAGAGTGACCAAGGTAACCACAGTGAAGACATTTTAGGCGTTTCTTGTCTTTGATATCTCTGTTTTGGTATGTATTTGGAGGTTTGTGGGTGAAGTTTGATTTGGCCAACATAGCAAGGGAATCAGTGGCTTTAGTAGTGTTGTGAAGGGTGCGTTGGCTTTCTTCTTGAAGGAGTGTGGAGTAGACATTTGAAAGGGTGGGTAAAGGCTTAGAGAGAAGTATGTGACTACGAACAGATGAGTATGATTCATGTAAACCAACAAGGAATTTCATTACAGAGTCATTCTGCTGGGCAACAGCCAAGGAATCAAAAATATTACAAGTACAGTTCACAAGCGCACCACAGTTACATTTAATCAGAGGACGATATGTCAAGTACTCATCCCACAATGATTTGAAGACAGTATAATATTGAGTGATCGACATCGATCCCTGAACAATGGTACTTAGGGATTTCTCGATCTGAAAAACCCTAGGTCCACTGCTTAGGGCATAGCGAGTGCGGATCTCATCCCAAACTTCTTTTGCAGTATTAAAGAACAGAAGAGATTGACGGATCTCTTTGTTAATAGAATTTAAGAGCCAGGAAAGGACGAGGTTATTCGCACGCAACCAGGAAGAGTAAAGAACAGTGTTACCGGTCGGTGAAGGGACGGCGATAGATCCGTCAATAAATCCGGCCTTGTTCTTCACACTGAAGGCCATGAGTACGGCGCGGCTCCAGGAAACGTAATTTTCGCCATTGAAGGTTTCGGCAACAACAAGAGCACCAGGATTGTCGCTGACGTGTAGATAAAACGGCGACGAGGAATCATCAGTAGGATTTGCCATCGGCAACAAGAGATTCGAAGGAAAGTGCAGCGGAAAAAGGATCGATTTAAGCGAATGATACCATATAAAGTTTTGAGAAATTAGGTTTTCTCTGTAAGGAAGACGAGAGAGTAAAGGAGAGGAGAGAGAAAGTAAATCTGAATGTGTATTGATCAAAATGAAACGTTGGGATAAAAGAGTGTTTAACATTTGCTTATATACTAACCCTAATCTAACTAAAGTTGTCTTACAACAAATGACAACTCTTATTTTACAAAGGAATAACATTACAATGGTAAAATAGTAATAACATATATATTTTCAATATTTAACAAGTGGAGATTCTGAAACTTGGAAATTCCTAATCCTCTAAGAAAATACACATCGAGAATCTGATCGATCCTAAAGCATTTTCTTTCTCTCTTTTTTTTTTTTTTTNAATTTATTGTAATCATGTAGCTATTTTTTTGCCTCAGCTTCTAAGGCACGTACGGTTTGATTAAGCTGACCATTGTTAATTATCAACAGTTCATCTTTACATAAATCTTGAGATTGCATTACAATTTACAAATCACGAATGAATAAAGCATAATGTGGCATCACCTACCAGCTCGAAATACGAAAATACCCTCGACTCGATTGTTGAATAGATCTACAATATATAACGAGTTCAAATAAATCGGATCCATGCTAGTAAGATACTCGAGCTAGACGAGTTGGGGTCAGAAAAAAGGTTATTGAACAATCTAACGAAAACTATGTCGGAAGAGTATGACTGACTAACATTCGACAACCTAACAAAAATTCTATCGATTGTTTAATATGGCCCATTTCTAAGAATGTCTCAAACTCATGAGATTTCATTTCCACTCTCCAAAGCCTACAACATACAATATCCATTGACCCAATATAATGATTTTAATGGCCCAAATGGGATGTCATTATGTCAAACAACCAATTTACCAAATCTAAACTCAACCTTTGTAATTGAGAAATATAAAAGATATTTATTATAGCAGGTGTCCAAACCTTCTTCTCTTCCTGGTCTTCGACCAGTATTTTATCGACGATGGGAATAAGAAACCTCTTCGCCAGTTCACTCCGTTGAAGCCTACCTTTGAGCCGGTATTCTTATCAATACTTCGGTTTTCAAGACCGACTCTTTCAACCGCTCAGACATCCAATCATGAATATTGTGGTTTAGATAACCTAATTTCTCCCTTTTTCTCCTTTAAAAGGGCATGCAGAAGTTCAACCAACTCTTGTAATTGCCTTTGCCATTTGGTGCATTATAAGAGAGCTAATCATTTTCATCATTAAATGTTAAAAGGGCCTGTTCATGATGAACTGCAACTCGCATATATACTGCTATTTAAATTATTGATAATCCATGGAAACAATTTAATCCTTAATTGGGAATTGCTTTCTTTTTATTTTCCACCATTTTCTTTTATTAATTAGAGAAACAATTTTTTTCAGATTTAGTAGTACAACCCATTTGTAATTAGGAAATTAGGGTAAATCTTT